GTGTGAAGTGTGATTAAGGTCTGGTCAATTTCAGGCAGTAGACCCAGTCAGCTGGCAGATTCTAATCAACTAATTAAGGTTACAGAGTTTATTTTTATTTATTTGATTTGTCAATTGCTTACAAGATAATAGGTATAAGAATAAACATGAGTATCAATACAGGAAATAGGTACGGATAAATGGGGACAATAGGACAGGGACTGTAGGGACGATTTTGCAGTTATGCACGCCCTTTACAGACCTCTTAGGAATGGGGTGAGGTCAATAATGGATAGTTTGAGGTTAAAGGAGTGGGGGTTAGAGGATGTAACAACAGAGTCATGTAGTGCATTCCAGGCATTGACCACTCTGTTGCTGAAGTCATACTTTCTGCAATCAAGTTTGGAGTGGTTTACACTGAGTTTGTATCTGTTGTGTGCTCTTGTATTGTTACAGTTGAAGCTGAAGTAGTCATTGACTGGTAGGACATTGTAGCAGGTAATTTTGTGTACTACACTTAAGTCCAACTGTAGGTGGCATAGTTCTAGGTTGTCCAAGCCCAAAATTTCAAGTCTGGTGATATAGGGTAGTCTGTTGCGAGCAGAGGAGTGCAGTACTCTTCTCGTGAAATACTTCTGGACTCACTCAATTTTATTAATGTCTGATATACAGTGAGGATTCCAGACAGATGAGCTGCATTTGAGTATTGGTCTTGCAAAGGTTTTGTATGCCTTAGTTAGCAGTTACCGGAGAGAAGTTTTATAAGATTAGATTTATTGCCTTTTAGATTTAATGCCTTTTTGGCAATGCTGCTGCAGTGAGCTCTGGCGCTTAGGTCATTTGATATGAGTACTCCAAGGTCCTTGAAAGAGTGAGGATCATCAATGAGTTTGTTAAGTTGTGGTTAACACTTTTTAGGGAACTGCTGTTCTGTGGAGAAAAGCAGCTCAAGAAGAGATAGTTTGTTTAAGCATTGTCTCTGTCCTGTGAGAGGACAAAAAGGGCAAAACAGAAAAATGGATCGGGCATAGGACACTTTAGGAGAGAACTTTCTCTGAATGAGATGTCAGCATTCAGTGATCTTTCCAGGGTTTTTGTCAGTCACATGTTCACTTAGCAACCATTTTGCTTAAGCAACCATTTTGCTTCCAATGTAAGGAACAGATTGCTAAAAGGGAATAGGGTTGTCCTGTACTAATAACCTTGTAAGTTTCTTGTTGTCGTTTTGCATATGTGATAGCAAATGCAAAAGGAAGCAAGTGTGGTCTCTTGGGATAGCAACAAAAAAAAATGCAACTTGTTCCGCAACTGGATTTTTAAAGAATATAGAAAACTTATTAGCGAGAAATCCTCTGGTGGTTTTGTTGTTGCTGTTGTTATTTTTAGGAACCTGTGAAAGTGCTATAAGTTCATTTTTCAGAAGTAGAAGTTCTGCTCTACTTTAGAAACGTTTTAACAACAGTTTGGACATTAGCTTTGAGTGCACATGCAGCTTTTCTTTAGGCTGGGAAGGAAGGGAGGGAAGGAGGGAAAGAGGTCAAATCTTTAGTTGTAGCCCAGCAGAGAGGAAAAAAAAACAATAGAAGAGAACTAAAAACCAAAATCAAATACACACAAACAAAACAAATAAAAAGAACTCAGCCATCTATTACCATATAGATAATCACTCAGCCTGACTTTTGAACAAACTATTAAACCATCACTTACATGAAATAATACTAATCAGTCTTTCCATTCCAGTGATACTGAGCTTATAGGCAGAAAGTGAACACATTATCATTTATTTATTTTCTACTTTTATTATTGTAATAAATAACTTGAGTTGTTTGTGGAAAATAATAAAGGCTGGATATGAATAAAAACAAACAAACAAATAAAATAAATAAATAACTCAAGACAATAAACATGCCTAATACCTTTTCCTCCTCCTATTTTCCCTACAACAACAACCATGTGAGTAACTGGCTCAAAGTCACCCAGTCAGCTTTTATCCCTAAGCAAAGGCCTCACAGCCTCCTGGCTTCTAGACTAGTACCTAGACAAGACTGGCTCTCTAACATCTTATCATAAACCCAAGATGAAAATCCTGAGTTGCACTGTCCTTACAGTGCTGAAAAATATGTTATTCTACATCCCCTGTTCTGTAATTCCATGCTGTAATTTTGCATATAATCACTCTCTCTCTCTCACTGTCTCTCCCTCTCCCACTCCCTTCTCTCTGTCGCTCTTTTATCCAAGAGTACATTCACATCTTTATAGTGAATTGATTTTTGTAAAAAAAATCATGTCAACAAATAGATGGATATGAAACCAAAATAGGACAACAGCTGAACAAGCCCAAATCATATGAGTTGATAGCTAAACCTTTTAAAATGCTCTGTGAAATATCCAGTAAATATGAAAAATATCTTGTTGGATTATGTTAAGATTATTGAAGCATATTTTATATGCTTTAAAAATTTTGGCTTCTAATTTGGTGATGTGGGGCATTCCAATTCTGTATTCCATAATCATAACATAAATAACAAATAGCCACCTTAGCAATACTTTGTTTTTAAGAAAATACTATCCAGGGGTGGGATTCAATTTTTTTAACAACCGGTTCTGTGGGCATGGCTTAGTTGGTAGGCGTAGCTTGGTGGTCATGTTATTGGCTGGGCGTGGCCAACTCAACATCACTTACATCGAGGTATGCATCTCCTCGCCTGGCGTCTCGTGACTGTGGGGATACTGCAACAGTCATAAGTGTGAAAAATGGTCATAAGTCACTTTTTTTCAGTGCCATTGTTACTTTGAATGGTCACTCCACACAAGCAAAGTACCAGCAAAGGAGGGGGGAAAACTCCAGAGAAAACTCCATGTTCCTGAGACAGGAAGTCTAGTCCTGCCAAGAACGTAATAAGGGTTAACGGAGAGGCAGTTTCTTTAAGCAACACTAGAATGTTTCCTTCCTGCCTTTCTTACAGGATTAGGCCAGTAATTTCTTCTAACAACCGGTTCTCTGAACTGCTTAGAATGTTAACAACCAGTTCTAGCAAATAGGTGCGAACCTGTAGAATCCCACCCCTGACTATAGTTTCAAAGGCTGTTAATGAATGTGGATCAAAATCTGAGATCAAAAGATGTTCTAATGGAGTATGCTATTATTTTCACAGTTTGGGCAATTCGGCTTCTTTTTGCAGTAACTAAAATGCTTTGATTAGCAATGAGCTGGTCCAAATTATTAATAACCTGGTTGACCCTTTTCTTTTTTCTTCACCTCAAAATAAAGTTGCGTTTTTCAAATTTGGATTGACCTAAATGTAAATTTAATGTGGTGAATAAGGGTTTAAATTATGCCTCCAATCCAGCATCTTTTAAATATACCTTGCAGCTTTAATACTGCAAGGCATAAAGGAAATGGGAGATGCAATAAAGCCTTTTTCTATATCCAGTTCATTTCTATTCTATGCAAAGGTGTGTCACATAATAACTTGCAGATACAGTATGTGTATGTTTTTTTAATGATCATTACATTCCACATATAAATTGGGTCAAAATAAATGGCCAGTGATAAAGCTGAAAATAAGTTAAAACATCCATCATCTTAGGAAAGTCAAAATTTAAGTAAAGAAAATCTAGGCGTTTTTCCTTTTCTATAAAAAATTCCTTGATATCTTGACCACTTGCTTAATATACCCTAGAGGCATTAAGGTAGGAACACATGTCACTAAATATATCCATCTTTAAAAGTCATTTTTATCACATTTATCTGATTTGCACTGCCTGCATTGTCCAGAATATTCATTTGCATTTTAAAAAATGCCTATCTTTCACGTTCCCTTTGGTAATAGCAAAGATCACATCAATGGTGTGAGGAAAAACCTCAGACCTGTTTTACATCTCATCTGTGAAAATGTTCTTTCTTTCAGCACTGTATTTTGATGGAGGGAGGGAAAACAACACCATTTGCACAAGATTCATACCACGCATACAAGGAAAGAAACTGTACTCTGCACATACAAGGGCTTCCAGTTTTCTAACAGGAAATTCTTTTGAAGCAGAGGAGTGTAAACAAGGAGAATGCACGCACCACTAGCTGCCAGTCTGACACTGCCTGAATTGGCTAGATATGTTTGTGCAAGCAAATACATTTTTTCTTGATTTTATTTTAAAGGTACAATGGCAGCCTATTTGTGCAGCATACAACCAAGACTTCGTTGGCTTCTAATCAGAAAGGAGAATGGTTTCAGTATAACAAAAGAGCTAAACGTGGGAGTGTTTTCCATAGTGTCACCTGAAACAAAGCAAACACAGATAGAGAATACACTTCAGGATATCTATACTGTTCCTTCCTCCTTCCCGCCCCGCAAAAGGGAAAGGGATGTTGGGGGGGCGGGGAGAAATGCAAACCATCCAAGAGGTTATATATTTACTAGGAACGCAAGCCGGGCTGATGAGAGGGAGTGATGCTGAATGTCACTTGCATTGTTGCCCACTGATAGACTACCACTGACAGGGTGAGGCTGACAACATGACATGCGGTGTGCTAGTCAGCTCTGGGGGTCAGTAGGAGCTTAGGGATGGGTGGCCAACCAGGAAATCGGAGCAGAGAGAGAGAAAAAGAGAGAAAGAGAGAGAGAGGAGAAAGGAGAGAGAGAGAGAGAGAGAGAGAGTGTCTTTGGGGATTCTGATCTCTTTGGGGCCAGCAGCAAAAAAAACCCTGTGTGAGCTGCCATAAATCTGCTGAGAAAATGTTGGCAAATTTCATTTCCAGAATAGGTTTGCTGTCACTCTGGAACAAAGACCAATGGTGGAAAAGGAAGAAGAAGGAAAACAGGGGAAGGAAAACCTTTGGCCAGCATCAGAGGAGAATGTGGAATCAGAAAAGTAAAAAATACATTCCCGATTGAACTTATGCTATTTATTCATTTTACAAAGTGGCCGGTTTGTCATAACAGGGACTGCAGCTAGGTCTTTATGCTCCCTGATTGAAAAGCATGCAAAGCTTAGGACTAAAGTCACTCTAATCTACGTGCACCCAAAAGCCAAGTGTCAATTACATATGTGCTGTAAACTTGTTTAATTTCTTTTGTTTTGCCTGTTTTGATTTTGGACCTGCCAGTCAAAGAGAAAGGCAAGGGGCCATACAAAACTATTAAGCCCTAAATGTTAAGGGTTTTAGAATCTTTCCTCACTGCTGAGTTTTCCACCTATCTTTGAGTTGGCAGAAAACTAAACCGGCATGAAATCTTCTTCTTCCCAATGTTAAGCCCTCTTTCGCCTTCGCTACAGGCCACTGAAGTCCCCTGACTTCCTTCCAAGGTTATGGGTGACAAATAGCCTTTCAGACTTCATATACTTTGAGGCTGCCCTCGGTAAGGGGAAAAGCATGATTTTAACTGTTGGTGCAACTAAGGATGACTTAAGCCTGCCTCACTAGTGGGCTGGGGATCTTAAGAAAGCAGGGCATAGAAACACCGCGGGGGGGGGGGGGGGGGAGATTTTTGCACTCTGGTTAGATGCAAGTGGAAAAAGTTCCTTATTGCAACACTGCTGACTACTCAGATATTATTCAGGCATGTTTCTGCAGACTTGGACTTCCTACAATAGCACTTGTCTTAAATAATAAGTAGAGGTCTCAGGCAGCCATACTCTTCACCTTCAAATGTTCTTTTTTTTTCTGTGCTTCCAGAAATCACAATATACCTCAATGCAGAGTGACAGAGATAGATAAATTGATTAGCCTTACAACCATATTAAAAAAAATAAACAAATTAGCATCCAATTCCAGGATAAAAGGAAACAGAATAATAAAATACCTATGTGGTAAATTACAAAGAATCAACATTCAAATAAATACATCACTTTTAGAAGATATCCCAATCTGATTGAAGTAATGGGTTCAACTGCCTTAACTATAAAACTTAGCAGTTTGGCTCACAATATGAGTACATTAGAATTCAGAAGGAAATAGGACAAATATGATCCAGATCCCTTTGGGCTGTTCTTTTAAGTAGGGATGTTAAATATTTAAGTCTAGGAGGGGCTTATAATTGACAACCAAAAAAACTTGAGAATATCTTCAATGGCTGGAGCACTACCTACACATGACCATTCAAGATATGGCAAGTACCTATATTTAATCATAGAATTCAACAATTCAAATACTGCTCTAGAATAGACTCTTCTTAAGAATTGTGTCAAACTCATTGGCAAGGTATTTTTCAAATTGAAAAATAGTTTTGTTCTTAGCCAACCAACTGAAAGATCTATTTTTTGCCAATAACTCCATGTCAGTTTGAGCACTGATATCTAGGACTCTTTGTTTAAAAAATTTCCCTCACCTGGGAAGTAGCTGAGGGCAAATACTGGGTTGGAAACTGATTTCTAATATGCTTATAATGGAAAACTAGAGTCCTTCTGAGGCAAGAGTCTCCAATCCTGACAGCATCCACTACCAGGCTGTGGTGAGCATGCATACATACAAAGCACCATTTGCCTGAGTGCTGGGCGTGTGTGCCCACCACTCACACAAATGAAGCTGTGCATACACCTGCTACTCACATAGCCCCCTCCACTCCCTCCAGTCCATAAAGCTAGAAAGTTTGGGGACCGCTGTTTAAGGCAGTGTTTTTCCAAGCTTGGAAAGCTTAAGATGTGTGGACTTCAACTCCCAGAATTCCCCAACCAACATTATCAGGGACCTGCTTAGATGGCTCCATTGTTGAGGTGGCAATTTTTATTCCCCTCTCCTGTGGCTTGTATTTTTGCTTTTGTGATATTTAGTAATACAGTGTTTTTGTTTTGTTTTTATTGTTCTTACTGATTCTTGCTCACCATCTAGAGTTGCCTATGGTGTGATGAGCAGCTATATTACTCTGACGGATAAATAAATAAATATAAATAAGAGAGGTCTGAGTACAAAAACACATAGTATGATTACATTTAGTGCAGATTTTGGACCCATCACAGACTGCCTAACTTACTTAGGGTGCCAGCTTTCTTGAAAGGATAACAATGGGGAGAACTCCATGCTGAAAAAGCAGGATGGAAATGTAATACTGTAAATAGTTCTCTAATTTTCTCCTGTCATTCAAACATCCTACCTAACCTATACTATTAAAAACCTCTATTCTCTCCTGGTTATATTTGAAATAGGCATCATAGATGGGGAAAACTCTTAAGATTTATCTTGAAGGATATGACCTAAAGTCTCAGAGACTGGGTTTTTTTGCCTCTTGCCTTTTTAGGGCAAATCTGTAGCTTCTCCTTGGTCCATGGCCAGTATAGGCCATGCATGCTTCCAGCTTACTGAACCCAACAATGGAGGACACAATCCACAATTTTTCTAAGCTTAGGTTTTCCAGTTTCAGTTCAAAACAACTGTTTTCTCACCAGAACTGTCTTAAGTCCTTCATTCTTATGATTTCCAGAGGTTTCTTCCATTCTAGTAGTAGCCTCAACTCCAATTAGCTGTAATACCTTAGCCCTCCAGCATCTGGTCATCATTCTGTACATCCATTTCATCTTGGATTTCCTTCCTTCCTTCCTTCCTTCTTTCCTTCCTTCTTTCCTTCCTTCCTTCCTTCCTTCCTTCCTTCCTTCCTTCCTTCCATCCATCCATCCATCTCAGAAACATAATTCGGGGGGACATACAATAAGAAACTACCATAAAAAGCAAACATTAAAAACAATTCAGAATAAAAGCAACAATAACCTGGAAGATGGTGGGGAGGATCTCTGGAAGGTTAAAAAGATGGGGCCAGTCTCAACTGCTTCCCTGCCGGTTGGCAGTTGTTGTTTTTTATAATCTGGTGATTGATCCAACAATGACCCATGAAATCACTGAACTCTCCCGATCCTTAGAAGCTCATGCTGCATTCAATCCTTATATCTCCCAGTGGGCACCCTTTTGGTTTTTGACCTGACCAGGTGCAGTATCTTCCTCTTGCTATACTCCCTTGTCCTCCATTCCTTTTATTATTTTCTAAAAAAAAAACATTTTTAAATCACAAGGAAGGGACATTGCTACTTTGTTTTAATGAAGCTGAGCCATCAATTCTTTCTTGCTACAAAATTTTCATGGACTTAAAAAAGAGGAACGCAGGAACCTGCGAACAGCCTGTTCCCTATTGCTTTGATTATTGTCACATCAAAGTAATGATAGTACTATAAAGGAGAAGGAAAAAAAAGAAAGTGTCTGTGTAAGTGTCTAGGAGATAATGTAGGAAGGGGGAGTGTGAAGGCATCCATGTGTTCAAACATCTGGGAAAGCAAAGGAAAGGGAGAGTGATTAAGGGAGAGGAATCCTTTAAAAAGGCAGGCATTGTTGGACCAATCCTCAAAGGAACCAGCCAATGAGATTTGCCTTCCCTACACAGATGGGAAAGGCAGGAAGAAGAGGAACATGGGTTTCAAATCAAAACCAGCCTGGCCCTTTTTTCTAAAATCACTGCAATCCAGACTGGGATTTCTGAATTTCTGGTTTAAGAAACAGCTGGGAACATCATGGGAACAAGTAGCTTAGGAGGGCAGTGCAAAGTTACCTTTAGCCAACCTGATGCCCTACAGATGAGTTGCAGTGAGATTCATTCCCAAGTGTCTCTTCACCAAGCTGAGAGGAATGATGGGAAATGTAGTATAACACACTGTAGTCCGAATGTAGTCCGGTCAGATTGAACCGGATAGGAAGAGTAAGGCATCGACTAACAAAATGCAGCATGTATTCAATTTTCTTTATGACTACTGAATGAAACTCTGAATAACCAAATATGAGAACTCCAATTTCATTCCAGATACTTTGGTAATTCTTCCAAGTAAAGTTTCTTCTGTAGGTAAAATGACATATCGTTTATTTATTACTATTTTATGCCAGTGCCCTGTACTTCCAAGAAATTATGTACATATTTGTCCAGATTGCTATGATATTTCATAATGTGAAGCTGTACCAAGTAAACTCTTGAAAAAGTATTACATCAAACGTTGAAATATTAGAATTTTGAAATAGATATCCAGTCTTCAATGTAAATCTGGAGGAGTTTCAGCATTCAAAATTTCCAGAGAAAGAAAAAAAAACAAAAGCATTCTATTTTGATCCGTATTTTATTGCAATTCCAAATCTCTGACACACTTTCAAAAATACTAGTATTCCTTCTCTCTATTGCACATAAATTCCACAGAGAATGTTTGTAAATCCGTTCCCTTTCCTTTTTTATTTAAATGGTATGGTCTTTATAGCCTGAGATTTTTTTCCTTCCCCAACATAACATTTTCTATCCCGCTCTGACTGCAAAAGCTTTGAAAATAGCAGAGTGAAATATAGGGTATAATTACTAACTCTTCTCACTCTTTGCACAGAATAACTCGATTAGATAGTTTTCTATAATATCCTGCCAAGTACCGGGGAGAATTGTGTCACTGTCCTGCTTCCTTAACTTTCTCATTGTATACAGAAGATTGGTAAATTAACTTCGCGGCTGAACAGGACATTTTAAATGCCTGATGTGGTAGCAAATATTTAAGGGCATCCTGTGAAAAGAAGCAACTTTTTGCTAGGTCATCTGTATTTTCATCTCCATTTTCACAGAAAAGGACTGGGCTACAAACTCCGATTTTAATAAACAAATTCTACCAAAGACAGTTTAGGCAAAGTTGTGTAAAATGGCATAGCTTAGAACAGAGGCAGCTGAATCAGGAATTCTTGGAGTTGAAGTCCACAAGCCATAAAAAGGGCCATAGTGCCCGATCCCTGGATTAGAATGAAAATCTGAAGTTAGGGGTTCCTCCAAGCATCTGAAGGAATCTGAAAGGAGCTTGATAAATTCAGGCAAAGCTCCTGTGAGGATTTTCTTGGCCAATATAGACTTCTCAAGAGTTGCACTAATTATATAATGCAAGATGCATGATGATTTCAGTTCATGGATTATAAGAGGGATGTGTGGCTGTACCTCTGAAGGAACCATAGAGAATGTCAACAACAACAACAACAATAATAATAATAATACTTCCGAATACAGACTGACAAAGTTCTGGAACACAATACCCCAGATAT